CACTACATTCACAACACACAAACTCGCAAACAATGAACTCAACTGACTCCATTAGACGCGAAAATACCAAACAACCTAACAAAACACTTACAAACAGCCCACAAAAAAGGCGACGCCAGAGTATTCTGGCGCCCGCCCGAAGAGGATTCAACACACTCCCCGCAGAAGTCGAAAAAACTCTTACGTGAAAAACGTAAGGCGGACGGCTCTGCAGGCAAGTTTAGATGCTCCCCGCGCTTAGAACACAACTGCGGAAATGCGAAAAACGCCTAAAGAAATCGGCGCTTGCAAACCACCACGCGGAGGGAATGGAAAAAAACGCATGAGAGAGATCGGTTTGATCACTCCGCAGCCGGTCTTTTCAAACTTCCAAAACGCTCAGATCATGATACCAAAAACATGCAACAGCCTACGCGGCCACAACAACGCGGAAAGGAAACGAACATACCTACTTCTCCAATCAACAAAGCTGAATTCTTCAGCTGACATGCTTGAAGAGAGGTCTCAAACAACAAACACACAGGTCAGAGAAGAGAGGAAACAGAGGACAGTGCCAATTCATTCATTGATACAGTGCCAACAATGTACAGTCGAAGAGAGAAATTTGGCTACAATTCAAAATGCTTGCGTAGCGCAAAGCGCCGCGGCCCGACCGAATAGGGCCTCCCGTTTAAAGGAGGCGCTTACCGGTCATAAGCACGGAGCGTTACGCGAATCTAACAATAGCTGCCATTACCCACAGGGTATTTTCCGACTGGAAATACGCAAGTATTGTCTATGCTCACCGAAACCGGAAGATCTCACGATTGCGACGAGGTCATAGGCAAATCAGCCTGCTCCAGTTCTCGGGAGAAAGTTTTCGAAAGGCTCCTAAACTCGCACGATCCTTCAACGTTCCTCAATCGAAAAACCTCATTCGGACGAACAATTTGCCTTTCAGACCGGGCCACCTCCGCATCGCTACAAGCACTTTCGCATGGCCAGGCAGAAATATCGCTGATCTGATTCTCATCAAGATGTACGGTAATCTACCTACGATATGTAACAAGCCATTCGAACAAAGTGCCACAACAGCATTAAACCAAACTCCGGCGCTGCCTCCACAAGACACAACCAAAATAATTACATCATTCTCACAAATCGCCTTTCTTCTGGTAAATGTGGGTAAGGGCGAATCCTCAAAAGCGGCGAATCGCATGCCGGAGGTCCCTCAGGGCTCCCCTTTCTCCGCGTTTGTATTCTCGCTTTACGTAAAACACATACCAAGAAAACCCGATTAAAACTATCCTATACGGCTGATGACATTGCCAAGGAGCCCGTCTTAGCAAGGCGGAATAAATCTTGACCACCAAACTAAAAATACTAACAAAAAAAGAGTGAACCTGACGCTAAGTGGGCGAACAAAACCACCTGCACTTTCTCAGCGGAAAATCGCAGCACATTATTTACACTCGCCGCAAACACATAAACAACACCAAAAACGTCACACCGCCAAAACAAATTACACTATAGGGCACTCAAAAAATTAGAGTGGGCGCCCAAAGCAACTTATTTGGGCGTCACCAATTTGTCGGAGAATGCGCTGGCATTTACATAGTCAGGCGATCCGCATCAAAACTTCAATGTACTGAAGTTCGCCCTCCTCCAAACCTCTACTAGAAGAGAACCTTCACTACCCTATGGACCTTCCGGACTGCCACTTTACAAAAAACATGCTGCCGCCCGTGCGCCACCTACGCACGCGCGACTGTGGTGGACAAACGGAAAGAAGTACAAGGATTAACACTTGCAGCTAGTTCAAACAGAGTTCTACGGCTCATAAGCACGCCCTCCGTTTCGAAAACGAGTGAAAGTTCTCAGAAAAGAACTCGATATCGAGTCTTTTTACTCATAGCTTGAGACGGCTTTCCTTCAACAAGCCATCAAGCCTTTCACGATTCAAGCGAAGCGCCGGCTACGCTAAGACAACTAGCCCGATGTCCATAACTCATGGACATAAGGGAGACAACCTCTCCCTCGGAACATACTGAGAGCAAAGCGAAACACACAAATAAACCGACAAATCAAAAAATGAACGACACGAACGACCAACAGCTATATGGAACTAAGCCGACGCGAACCTACACCAACAACCAAACAAAGCAGTAAAACCGCTACGCGTGAGAACTGCAAAATAAGAAAAAACACACAGACTTCGGCTACGCCGATTAAAAAAAAATAAAAAAATAAAAAATTACTATGTCACGGCTAGTACAAAGCCCGAGAGATATGCTACAATAGGCGATACTTGCAAATGAAAATTGCGGTAAACAACGCCAAAGCGCGCCGAACGGTATTGTCTTTCCTGACCATGTTCTTTTCTCCATTTTCAGATCAGCCATAGATGTCCGAAAGGATAGAGAATGGCTCCACAGCAGGGAAGTTGTGCGGCATTGCAATACTCGGCCACACGCCCTGCGCTGCAAAGCACTCTTCGCTTTACTATGTCAGTAACCTGAAGAAGCACACTGTGTAGGAGCCGGGTCTTATCGAATTCAATAGCATGTCCTGTGACCTCGGAGTGGAGTGCTATGACCGAACGGTGGGCTTGGTTTTTGTTGTAATAACTAATGTGTTCCCTAACTCGTTCAGACACAGTGCGCCCGGACATTATTTACTGTGCATATTTGTTTATATTTCTATTCAAGTATCCGAATAGTTATGCAAGTCAAGTTTTCAGCATACAAAATTCAAATGTATCAGTTGCAATGCAAGATATCAACTGATTATTGTGATTTTTATAAAACTTGCCTAAATACCTTCTAATTGCTAATGAACGTAATGTAATAATATACTTTATTACATTTATTTTCTCTTTTTAATATTCCAAATCCTTGATTATTCTGCTAAATTTTGCATGCCCAAATAGTTTTGTGAGTCACTGTAGCTGGATCTGATGATGGCAGTGCTTTATATGACAATACTAGAGATTTGTTTTGCTTTTCCGACCTTAAAGAATGAATGGAATAAAGAAATTAGTAATGAGAATTGGGGAAATTCTATTAGGTGTGAAAACGTATGGAAAATTTAGCATTACATGTTCAGACAAGGAGTAACATGTAAAAAGGACCAGATATGGGGAATATTACACAACTGTAGATTTTAATAATTAATTTTTTTTTTAACTATTTGCCTCCAAAAGTGTAAGTGTTTTTGCATTGTAAAATGTACATCCCAAATAAATCAGTTTCAGTTCCATTATTGCTTTAAAGCAGTAGCTAGCAACAATGTGCTGTAATGAAAGTTGTCGCCGCCAGATCGCATTAATTATTAACTTTTTGTTACTTTTCTTTCTCGCACAGTGCTTACGCAGAATATTTAAAAGCTAAAATATACATTTTCATTTAAATTTTGTATGAAAATCTATTTTTCATGCTTTCTTTATTTATGGGATAAAGTGATATTTTAAGTATTAAAAAGGCATAACATTACATAACTACAACATTGCAGGAAATTGTATAGTTGCAGCACCAGTCTAAATTTTCTTTTTATTTTGAAGGGGATTGTATAAGTATCGGAACTCTTCAGCATTAATGTTAAAACCAAGAATTGGGGTGGGGGGTGGAAGGGAAAATGGAATCGCCAGTTATCCTAATAAATGCCCTATAATTAAAAATACTAAATTAAACTATATACAGAAATTCATTAAATGTTTTCCATTTATTACATATTACAATACTGCTCTTTATGTAAAAACAATATTTTACTATTGGTCATAAATATCAACAGTTGTCTCCATAGGAGATACACAAAATATGCATATATTCATACATTTCACAACAATCTCCAAACAAAACATTTCTGGTCAACACAATCAGTCTCACAAATTCACTAAGTCGCATTTACAAATCCATTTTTATCATACTGCAATATCAGAATTTTCATAGTTATTTATGGAAATGTTATTCTACATGGACCACCTGGGTCCGATTATCTGGACTTCGTCTTGGAGCAGGGAAGATGACAAAAAGTGAAAGCTGAAGGGCAGAAAGCGTTGTCCCTATGATGTTCGGTAACTAAAACAAAACAAAAAACATAATATTATGCAAAGTATTGCATCTTTAATATGGTTATGTTTGCTATTAAAATACATCTTACCTTTACATTTGGATCATCAATTATAAATCCATATATAAGCCACAGTAAAGATGAGGTGAATGTTGCTAAAGTAAGGGGGAATGGAAGACTTTCTGAACTCCCAGTCTGAATAATATGTGCCTGAAATTAAATTCATAAAATATTGGAAACGTGTCATTTTCGATTGCAGTGAAGTAGGCTTATGTTTACACAAGGTAATACCTCAAAACATGTGACAAACAAATCTTAACGACAAACACAAATCATATGGAACTAAATTTATTTTTGTTTAATTATTGAATTGAATTTGCCTTCTTTTACGTGGCGAGACTCAGGTCATCAGGCCCGCTCTTCTGTCTGACCACGCAAATATCACTATGCTCCTTTCATCAACTAGCAGAGAAAGGAGGTGTATCTTGGGCGAGAATCAGGCGGTTTGAATTTAGCTCAGAGGCGTCATTTAGGCTTGAGGGTCTTGTACATGCAAATAAATCTACTAGCATGGGACAGCACTTTTTACTTCTCCTCCGAAAAAAAGGCGTACAAAGGATTATTTCGCCCTTAAAAATCCACGGCTTCGATTGGGTTTGAACATGCGAACTTGGGTATAACAGTCTGGTACGCTAACGGTTACACCATCGCCGCCACCAAAATATCCTATCCTACTTAGAATAAGTCGCAATACTAGTAGTTTTTTCTCTCTACAAAACTTTGATTTGATGCTAGCATTTGAATACTGATAATGTGTACATATGTATAAATAGTAATATACATAATATAAGAGGAAGTTATGCATGAAAAATTGATGTCACACCAAAATAGCATTATATTTCAATGTGTCCATCTAGTGTTTATTATATTATTACATTACGTACAAAATATTATTACGTAATACTTACAAATAGACTCCTTCCCGACACTTAAGGCACCCAGTGTATAACCCAACTGCATGTGTGTTTTAAATTGTGTTCATGGTGCAAGCATTCAGAGCCCCTTGTGTATTACATGTTTACCCCAATACACAATCTCTTGGCCTGTCTGGCAAGTGTGTGAGCGAGTTGTGTGTAATTACGGAACTGGATCCCTACACCCAGAAGAATGGTACAAGCTCCAAAGAATTCCATGGGCAAATATACAGTGTCCAGGGAGGAAACGTCAAAATTTTGAAAACAAGCTCACAAGACAATTTTAAGCATATTTTGTCTAACAAACTACTTGAATATTCCCAGTGGCTACGTCGCAATAAACACTCAAAAGTTGGTTTGAAAAATTGCTTTCTAGGCAAAAATTTGCATTGCACAAGCATATACACACTCCAGAAACATGTAATATTTATCTTTATTGGAATAGAAATTAATATATTTGTTCAGAAATAAAAAAAAGAAACTAAATTTACACAATTCAACATTTTTCTTATTTCTGGGTAAATTTTTCTTTCTGAATAAATATATTCATTTCTTCTGTAAATAAACAATATACATGTTTCTTGAGTGTTTGTGTGTTTCAGCAATGCAAATATTTGCACAGAAAGTATTTTTTCAAACCAACTTTTGAGTGCTTATTGTGGCTCAGCCATTCAGAATATCTAAGGACATTTTTTTAAAACAAAATATGCTTAAAATAGTCTTAAGGGCTTATATTCAAAATTTGGACGTTTCCTCTCTGGACAGCCTGTATGAAGGCCAAAATTAGTCACAATGTCTGGGGAACGTGAATGTGCCTTTTACTGGGAATGTTTCTAAAGGGGCATTACTTCAAGAGGCCTTGATTTTAGGTGCTGATAAATAGCTGCGAGAGAGGTGTCATTCCTTCTCAATTCCCAGAGGTCTCCTCCCTTGTGTCATTCCTTCTCAATTCTGGTAGCTGGGTAGAGACGTTCAGGTGCATAAGAGACAGACCCGTACACAGACATGCTACCTGGCAGTCTTCTTCAAGACTCCTGAAGTAACTTATGGTCAACAGACTAGAATATATTATATTTTCTAAGTTATTATATCTAATTCTAATATATTCTAGTTTAACAGAGGATTACTCCATACAAATACGTTCTACGCCAAGTTCTTGGCTTCTTGTCAATGTGACTGAACGTTGTCATAGAATAGTGACAGAATGTTAAAAAACAAAACTATCAAGAGAAAGTCACAGCCATTCTAAAACACCATAAGTTCAATATCTGTTGGTCATTTTGCACTCGTCGACAAGAGCTATGTAGTTTACAAGAATATATGGATATGGTCATAATTTTTGCTTCTACCGTACCAAGTAAATATGGTTGTGAAAAACAAAGAAACAACCTACCAGTTGTGTGAGAGGAGCAGCAAAAAATGCAATGGTCATGAAACAACATAACATTCCCACTCTCTTTATGGCCACTTCTTGATCTGATTCAATGATTGTGTACAAAATTGTAAGAGCTTGAATTAAGGCAACTCCAAGTAACTGTTGGATGACAACCATCTGAAAAATCAGCAAAATTAAATGACGAAATACAAAAAATTTAATATGAATTCAGATCTGACACTATCAAAATGTAGAAGTCAACAAAAAATATACTTACCTTTCTTGGACAATACAGGTAAAATACTGCAATGTAACATAATTGCATAATCGCACCAACACTATTCACAATGATCAGTGATGGCTCCCCTTGCATTAACCCATATTTTAACCACAAACTTGACCTGAATGAGTGAAAATACACACATTACTTTTTCCCCACTATCTACTTAATTTTACTTGGAAGCAAAGCAAATCCACCCCTAATAAATACAAGTGGCAATATTACTATGAACACATATGAATATAGTGACATATACATTCTCAGTTTTCAGTACTAATACTCTTTCTGGGTGGGTTTAACATTAATTAATGTGACAATATTACAGATGAAATACATTTATTTTTGAAAATCTTAAACAGGTTCTGGCCCTTCATTCCAAATTTAGGTTTATTAATGGTACTGAGCTAGAACAAATGGTGTGATCAATCTACACACACACACACACACAAAATATTGACTATCTTCAGCAAAACAATATTGATTTTGACTAATGTTTTCATGCGCATACTTACGACAAAAATCCCACAACGAACGGCAACGAAGATGTTTCTCCTGTTGTGCCATCAATCATAAACTTTCGGCACATAAATCTACAAATTACAATTATAAAATTAATAAGATTTTTCCCATTTTTCTATGTTCTTGGAAAAAATAAAGTCCCGCTCTAACCACTAAATTGCATCTAATGAAAGCAACTCACATGGGAACAAGTAACTGGAGTATTGTACATAGTGAAGCACAGGTTCCTACAGCTTCTTTATAGTCACTTAACCCCATGATGTCCGGCTTCTTCCTTCACTTCAAATAATTGCTATTCTGAGGAGGAGCGGCATGACTAAAAATTACGTTTGCACTTTTGGTATGCAGAAATTGTACTATAGATTTTGCATGACGTGTCACAGAAAACACCCCACGTATTCCGACGACAATTGTTTGTCATTGCCTTCAACTGTTCCCGCTAACGCCGCAGCCCCTCATGGCCCGACGTGACGTGCCGTGACAATTCGTGGCATACATGTGCAACGTGTGTGGGCGTACAGGCTGCAACCAGCTGCATATACACCCTCAAAGTGCGCATATAGGCCCTGATGAATAGATTAGATAAGAGCTGAGCGTGTGATTAAGAGTGCGCTACAGTATAGCACGGCGCAATTGACAGTTCATTGGTACACACATTTCTTATAATTATCGCTGAAAATAAAATCCATGACACAACGGAACTGAACTATCTACTCCACTAATTTGCGATAAATTGCTTATTATTTATCAGATACCTATCAATTTAAACTTTTTGTGGTAGCTTTTCCTAAAGCATCGGAAATATCGGAAGACTTCGCGTTCATCATGTTGGCCACCATGGTTGCTTATTATTCTGTGAAGTAAACCGGAGTAATCGTTTGACGATTTGAACTCTTGCGCTGCTCGTGCGTTGCTTGTTAGTGCATGGTGCATGAGTATTATATCGTGTCTAGTCGTGTCATTTTAGTGTTGACGATCGTCTTTCGAGTATTGTTTTGAATTTTTTCAAAGTGCGAATCTTTTTTTTATTTGCTAACTCTACGTGTCCTGATTGTTTGATGAAGGCTGATTGTTTTCTTCTGTCAGGTATTCTTTCCTCTTGTTTCTAGTACCACCGAATGATGATTGGGTGCAGAACAGATGATAACATTTCAAATGAAAACGACATATCAGTTCGTGACGCATTTCATTACTACTGGGAAGAAAATCGTCTGAAGTCTTTCACTAACTGGCCATTCAGTGACAAAAACCAGTGCAACCCTAAAAAGGTGAATATGATAGCTTAATGATACCAAATTGATCATTGGTTTATTATGTGGTTCATGCTATAGCTGTATTTTCTGCATTAACCTTTCAATACACATGCATTAAGTTCCATTCCTCACATTTTTTAAATTTATTTTTGAAATTGGAAGTTATTTTAATTGTTTCTAACAACAATGTTCTTTTGTACTTAAGGCTGTAATGCTGAACCTTTTACTGAAAAAAATTATAGTTGTGAGAAATAAAAAAAAAAAGATATCTATTACTGTCTATGATCTGACTTAACTTTCTGTAGCCTGAATCTGCCTTGTATCTTACAATTTTATGTGTGCAAATATTCTTTCCAACATTTCAAGGCTAAATATTGCACACCTGCAATATACAGCATCCAATTCTTTGTTTCTTAGCTCAATCAGACAACTGAAATATAATATTGTGCTTATGTTTTAAATCGACTTGCTCATGGAGATTTTGAACATTTGACTCAGGTTTTTTGTTTTCCAATTAAAAATTATTATTCTAATATTATTCTTTTACTGTTCCCAAAATTGTCATGAACACTTTATAACCCACCCTCATATTTATACAATCATCAATAGCAATTTATCCAGTTGTTTCATCTGTTTTTTGTGTTTGTAAAGTTACCGGTTGAGCATATTCTTTGATGAAGGCCCCCAGCTTGGTGTATATAGATGTAAATAAATAAAGAGCAAACAAGTTTGACTCATATTCCACATTCCATCCTGTATATCATTGTTTTAAAAGTGAAAATGGCTTCATACTGGTCTTAGTTTGAAATGTGGCTTTTTACTGCCTATGCTATGTTCTGGGCGCAGTGCACTAATTTAATAGAATGTCCAAAAAATTTTTATTTTGTAGTGGCTTCAAAAACGTAAATCATTTCTGAAATCTATGATGCAAGAATTTGGGGTAATGACTTATCAAGCAAGAGCACTTTGTGTTGACACTTTCTTATAATTGCTATAAAACTATAGTCTTTCCGTAGCATATTAACTATAACTTGGGAGTGAAAATTTCTAAGTTTTCAAGTGTTGCCAACCTCTCTTTGTTGGTGCTCTTATTCTTCATTCGAGTAGTGCAAAGTTGGGGAAGAGGTTCCACAGCTCAGGAAAATGTGCACAGATTTCTTCTCCCATACGTCACATTCAAAACAATTTTTTATTGTTTTTGATGGAAGTCGAATCAAATTGCATCGTAGTTTTATTATGTTGTTTAAAGAAGTATTATTCAGATTTTTATCTATGATTACAAAGAGTTCATTTTATTTTTTAATTGTAATAATTTATTTATTTTGCTTGATTGATGTGGGTAAGATAATGTTACTTGTTTGTTTCAAGTAACTTTTCTTGTCTTAAAAAGGGAGTGTTATGAAGTCATAATGCAAATAGTGCTGATATAAATCCATGAGCACTTATGCCATAAAGAACCTGACGTTTTGGGGGAATTGTTATACATTTGGGAAGAGGCTGTATAAGCCTTCTGGTAATGCGGTGTATGGTTCTTCAAAAATTAAATGTGTCAATTAATTGTATTTTAGTTGCCTATAGAAACCGCCATGAAATTGTTTACTCACAAAGTACTCCCTCCCACCATATGGTTTAGAAATAATATGGAACTACCTTACAGTCAAACAGTTAGAAATGTTAGAAAATATAAAAGCGGCTTTCATTTTAAAAAAAGCTATAGGAATTTTCAAGTATGTGCAGACAAGACTGGTATATATAATGGTAAAAGAAACTTTCTTACTGAAAGATATAAGGCTTCAATTGCAGCTTCCCAACACAAATGCACTCAGAGTAGTGCTGAATGAATGATAAAAAGAGACAAAGAAATATGGCCAGATTTCTACTGTACCGATGTGATGATAAATAGAGAATCAGAGGCAGGGTACAAGCGGAGGCATGTGATTACACACCTTGCAGTGCATGGGTTCCACCATTGGATATGTTAGACAAAGACTTTCCAAATGACAAATGGATATGCAGTGAACGTGAAAGACAGTAAGCGTTATCACATAATAAATTGCGCCTTAACAGAACAAATCTATAACCATGTATGCTGTGGAAAACTAATTGTACAATATGTTCAAATTTCCATCATTATTGTATTATTAAAGTTATAATTTCAATCTCTTTGTTTTATGCATTTACTAGTAAAATATATTACGTGTAAATAAAAATTGGTGTAGGGGGCCCAGAAATGTAGTCCCTCCTCCTCATCTTGCTTTAGGGTGTGCATGCCTAAAATCACTGTAGATACGACTTTATAGAATTCATCAATATTTTTTTGTTTTAAGCAATAAAATTTAATAGTACTAATGAGTTGCTCTTTTTTTTAATTAAGATGGCACAAGCTGGTTTCTATGCTTGTGGAAGTAAAGATGAAACAGATTTGGCAAAATGTTTCTTCTGTGACAAAGAGCTTGATGGTTGGGAACCTGACGATGATCCTTGGTGAGATGATCAATACAATTTGTGTTACAAATTTGTTGTTTAAACATTTTGGAATAGAATTATGACTTGGCTGTCGTCTTTTCAGGTTGGAACATTCTAAGCATTCAAAGAACTGTATTTTTCTCAAATACAATGGAGCAGAAGATGACCTGACTGTTGAAGAACATACAGAATTAATTACGACGTATTTTGAAAATGTGCTAGTAAGTAATTCAACAAATACGTAGTTAAAAATGGCCCTCTTTTGACACATCTTTTTATAATAATTTTCTCAACAAAATTATTCTACTTATGCTCTCGTTATTCTTTTATATTCGTTCATGTGTACATACCCACAATGGCATCTCTTTACGATCAACAGAATTATGAAAATGGGCTATCTGTAGTATATAATAAAAGAGGATGTGCATATGTGTGTTGCACATAGACTCAAAAACTACTCAACTGATTTCGCTGAAATTTTCACACTGTTCTTGAAGTATTTAAAGAGTGGTTTGAATTAAATTGAATATGTAGATGAAGATTTATTTTCTTTATTACAACTCAAGCACTTCTGAACTCCAAGCAACCTGCCACACAATCAAGAATTGAGCGTGTCTTCACTGCATAAAAGTATTCTTCCCCTGTGATTGTGAAATATCAGATGGATATATTACTTGAATCTTGGACAAGAAAATCAAATATCTCCAAGATAATGTCATAGTGAACATAGGCCCAAATTTGAGGGGGAATGTTTTAACAATAGGATTCTTGGCAACCAGATCTAAACCAGGACATATAACATACTTGCAAGAAAGTCTGTCATCTAATTAGAATTTTTGTACAGCATAGCATAAATCATGATTAACTATCATATGGACCAGTAGTGTGCGATGTGAAAAGAACTATTGTTTCATGCACAGTGACAATGAGTTCAAACTTTTTTTTTAATTTTTTTATTTTTATTTTTTTATTTTTTTTTTTATTCCTTTGACAGAAACATATCACTCTTTTTGGACAAAGGACAGAAGTCGCGGCACCCATCTTGCTCTGACCTTTCTCTTAAGCAATTTGTCATAGATGGTCTAAAAAACAGTTGTTTTCGAAAGTTCCAAGCTTGCACTGTTTTCTTTAAGCTTCAGATATCTATCATTATGCAGTTCTTCTTCAACAAGAGACATGTTTTCCATTGTCATTACTTCCAATGATTGCAGCTGCAACAAACTCGGCAAGACTGTTAAAAATGATACGCTACTTTACGCATAGATGGACAAAGTACATATGCTGTCTAACATAAACAGCTTATAACCATTGGCACAATTTTTGAGTGTCAGTCTGGAAAATTTTGGAACTATCTCCGCACATGGACACTACTTATTGCTTAGTGGAATTTTATGTTGTTTCCATAGTAAAATATGATGAGAAGCTTGCTTTTTGTTTATGATTCAGATGGTTTCCATGCACGTGAAAATGCAAATGAAACTTAAATTTTTATTTATTTGGGAAAACTTTTTATTTATTTATTTATTTTTTCAAAAGGACTTAAAATTAAAAGCTTACACACACACACACACACAGTTTACAAAAAATATTTCTTAATAACCCTGTCAAATATACTTGTATAAAAGTCACTGTCAAATATAATTGGAATCTGTAATTTAAAGTGTAATACTACAAAGAAGTCCTGGATACTGAAATGTGTCTATTTTCAAATCTTCCGTCTGTCATCAACAATAGCACCTAAACTATGGTTAGAATGGTTTCCAAATCGAATTCTCCCTAGTCAGTTTGGCCTCACTCAATGCTCTGCAATTTTGAATAAAATTCTTGAATTTTGGGAAGTACATGAAGCTTCTGGAACTTATTCAAAATTTTCTCAAAAGAGGCTCCAAATTTTTTCTTTATATTTCTTGTAAGAAAGGAGTGAAATAAAGCTATAAAAGTGGCAATTGAATACAATACACTTATAAAAGTGCTGATATTTACCATTAACTCTCAATTTTTGAAAATTGCAAAAGTTTGAAAGTTTTTCAGTTACTTTCTCAACTACAAAATTGAAGATAAGATTTTGTTTCTTCAAATAAAATTTGGTCTCAATAATTAGTTCTTTCATGAAGTCTGTGTAGGAAAAAAAATATGAAAAACAAGAATTTCTCAAAACCGGCTCCAAATTTTTCCTTTTAACTTATAGTAAGGTTTGTGTTTCTCGTCATGTAACAGATGACATAAACACCATTTTGCTGTATTCTCTCTCTTTTTCTTTTCCCTCCAGAAATTACGCTATTGTAATTTGTTTGAAATCTCTCACATTGTTAATATTTACATTACTGAGGATTGTGTACATTATTGCATGTGCTTCAAATGATGTTTTATAGAGGTTTGTGAAAAAGACTTTAAATTTTTGCTTCAAATTGTTTGTACGGATAGTGATAAATGGATGGAACAACAGGACATTATTGCCACTTTGATGTATTCTCTCCTTTTTTTGTCTCTTGTTTTCTTGAAAAAATTACTAATATATTAAAACAAATATTTCTCACAGTGTTGCATGTGTGAGTCAAAGTGCTTCAAATGACTTCCAATGAAGTTGCTCCAAAACTCAAAAGTTTTCTGAGATAGAGCTTCAAATTTCGCTTTTACAGAAACATTTAAACAATGTAGCAACAGCAGCTCCAAACTTTTCAAAAAAAATATTATTTTGTATGATTAGTCTTTGTCTTATTAGTCTTATATCAGTCCTACCATAGGAAACAGAAAAGTAGGGAAAATGTGAAAAAATGAACTTTAGAGCAGCAATAGATTGCAGCTGAGTAGAGGGTGAAGCAAAACTGAAATGCTAGTCCAGACCAACAAAGTTAGAAAACTAACTATGAGAAAGTTGGTGCCATTTGGGGCATCACTAATTTATTTGCTTAGTAATATTGCTTCTGTGAGGACAGGTATTTTTATTGAGAAATATATGATGGTTTATTTCAATGTTGATGAACATTTGTTAGAGTAACAACCAGTTTTATTGTAAAGCTAAGATTAAATAATATGTCTGTTAATAAAATGCTCTTTGTTGGGGGTACTATTGAATTTTCTTGTTTCCAACTATGTATTCATACTTTTGTTTGTTTTGTTTCCAGAATAAAAAAGTTGCTTCAGTTCAGGCAAAAATACAGAAGGATTTTAATGAAACACTTGCTACAGCCAAATCAGTCAAGAAGAAATAATCAATGATTAAATCTAGAGCTCAACTACTCGGATACATCAAGGGAGTTCAAGGGAAGGGAAGTGAAGTGAAGTGAAACTTTATGGTGGAACTATAGTTCAGAGTTGTTGTGAATTCTCCAGAAAAAACAATGAACAATATTTTCTACTAATCTAACAATCTTTAATCATATAAGTTGGGTACCCCAAGTAATTTTTTATATGAAATTGTTTAATATCTAATAAATAATAAAAAACGAGTTAATTTTTAAAATTGCTTGTACTTATTGATTTATCCTGTTCAATATTTTAAATATTAATAAGGGGGCCCATAGGTTGGTCATGCTTAGGGCCCCTGAACATAATATTCTACCATTGTCAGCAGGTATGTGAATCACCATTGAGGGACAGTCAATAAAGCATTAATTTTTACGGTGAGAGCATAGGCTTCTGTGGCTGGAGTCAGTGTTTACTTAGCTATCCGAGAGATGCCGCATCCAGGGAACAGGTGCCAACGTATCGGTTGCCATTCTGTGACGTTCATCAGGGCAATACTAAGCCCTGAAGAAAGGTCACAGAATGGCGACCAAAACGCTGGCACCTGTGCCCTGGACGCGGCGGCTCCCGGATAGTCAAGTAAACCTTAATTTTTACTTTCTTGTATGTGTGTGTATATACATAGTGTTATACGTAGTGTAGAGAAAGTTATGAAATGCTGCGAAAAATCAATTTTGAAATTTCGATGGAAATACGCATTTTTGGGTCCTGAAAATGTGGTTCTTTTCAAAACATGTCCGTCCTAAGCCATGCATAGATTTTGAAGAACGTTCTTTAAAATTTGGGGGTACTTTACATGAAGCCCTCCGGACATTTTCAAAATTTTCTCAAAAACAGCTCCAACTTTTAAATTACTTGTAAAAATAGAGTAACATACACTTATAAAACTGGCATAGGTTTGATTTTCATGGTTAACTCTGAATTTTCGAAAATTTAAAAAGTATGAATTTTTTTCAGTGCCTTCCTAGAATTACAAAATTTAACAAGAGATTTTTCCTTCAAAGGAAATTTGTTGTCCATATTAAGGTCATGTACATCATTTGGAAATATTAGTAGTATTTGCGCAATTGTGAGCAATATGTGCAATTTCAAAAACTCACAAAAACACGATTTTCTCAAAGAACGGCTCCCAATTTTTTCTTTCAACTTTTGGTAGGGATAGTACTTCATTCACTCATAAGATGACATAAACGCCATATTGCTCTATTCTTTTGTTTTTTCAAAAATTACTAGATTATAATTTTTGTGAATTGTCTCTCACATCATTAATATTTATATTAGCAGCAATTTCTTTACATTAATGTATTTGTGCTTTAAATAATGTTAGATAAAGTTTCCTGAAAACTCTCTGGTTTTCTGGTAAAAGGAGTTCAAAAGTTTGCATTTTCAGTATTATCAAACGCCATTGTGTCAAAAATGGCTCCAAATTTTTTCTTCAAACTTTGGGAACCGTTAGTGCTAATTGTACTTGTTTAAGATATAGAATTAATTTTGCGGTATTCTTTTGTTTTTCCAAAAATTACACTTGTGTAATTTTTTGAAGGATCTCTCATGCCTTTATTATCCAGAAATTTGTAAACACTATTGTATTTGTGGCTGGAAGTGAGGGAAGCTTTGAAATAATATCATATGAAGTTTTTGGAAAACTCAGTAGTTTTCTGTGAAAAGAGGTTCAAATTTCACATTTACAGTAATGATTAAATGCCATTTTCTTAAAAACTGCTAAAAATTTTTCAAAGAAAATTGCCATTTAGGTCGAGGTTCTACTTTTCTTTATTATTCTTAAAATATTATTTCTATTCTACTATTAGGAAAATGAAAAATTAAGAAAATTTCAGAAAACTGAACTTTGGGTGGCAATAGATGGCAACAGGCAAGAATATATGGCAAGTCCGTATAGCTAGCAGAGACCAAAGGAAATAGAAAACTATTACGGGAAAGTCTATGCCATTCTGTAGCCTCACTAGTTTATTCTGTTGCTATTCAGTCATTGTGAAATGTTTTATTTCTGTAGGCCTCTTGTGAAATTGGGTAGTTCTTGTGCTTAGGCCAGAAGGAAAACCGGGTTGCCAAAGGGATAACGATGGAATAAATGTTCATCTGAAATATATTTCAGAACAAATCTCTTTATATAAAACGGATGAAGGTGTGTATAAAAACGCTTAATTCTGATGTGACCGATCTTCATGAAAGTTGGCTTTATATTTTTTCACCGAGAAGGTTTTATGTGCTGTTAATTTTCTTGTAACGCTATTAGATGAGGCTGCAGAACAAAATTGCGCATCATTTTAATTCAAACTCCGCTCCACTTGGCTTCATTGTTGCTGCTGTTGCCACGTGATGAAGGGAGAGGACCAGGAGAACCGCACGCACACGCACAGAGAGAGGCGGAGAACAGCGACACGCGTGAGACAGAGGGATAGAGCCAGATGGTGAGAGACAGAGCTAGATAGAGCCTCAGTGATTCAGAGAGAGAAAGATATAGCCACAGAGAAGTTTTCCTTTTTAACAAGGATAGAATGTGAAACAACCCGGGCCATGCCAGGTATTTTGGTAGTTGTTTATATTTATAAAACTAATAGTACATCTAATAAATTGTATAACAAGGAAATAGTATATCAAGTAAATAACTAAATAAAAGATAAAGATAAGTTACAATGCACTCTTTTCAGTATAAAGAGTGACCACTTTTTCTAGAATGGATTTCACTCTATTTTTAAGTTATTCAAGTCATTTTGAAATTGATGTTGAAATAAAATATTAAATAAAGCATGACTTTGATCGAAATTAAAACACTAATATTGACAGAGCTCTTTTTCCCTTTGCATTCCGGATTATCTTGCTCCAATACGTTAAAGAGACAAATGCACTTGAATTCAAAACACACTTTTCAGTTCTCAGATTGCTCCATAAAAAGACAAAAATAACAATATTTGCTTAACAAAGGAAATTGCCTCTTGCATTCTCGTATGTAGTGCGAAGTTCTGTGATGTAGTTCACCAGTTGTCACAAAATAAAGATTTTTGTAGGACTGTGGAATTATAGCTGAGTATAATAACTTAGGGCATTTGGTAGAAAAAAGTTTTGGGGACACTGAGAGACATGTTGATATATAAGACATAGAGTGAAACCCCATTTTTACGTTCCCTCATTGTACGTTTTCGTGCCTTTACATAATTTTTCATTGGTTCCACTGTAAAGAATATATTTACAATGCATTCTCTTCCCCCAATTTGCAACTTGATATGAAGAGTGCTTCCTGTCTTTTTTTGTCATTTCTTTCTTTTTAATTACATTATCGTATACGTACGTATTTATACCTAAAGCAGACAAAGTTATATAATACTGGGACAAAACGGCGATTTCCCATTGGCCTTTTCTTAGATTTGTCAAAAGCCTTTGACATCATTGACCATCATATACTTTTAA